CATTTACCTCGCCTCTTTTGCAGCCAATTAGCATGATTTTTGGTGCAGAGCTAATACACACCATTAAATGATTTGGCATATATCACAGAATGAAATTTCCAAAAAAATTGGAACAATTACAACAAAAGTAAAAAGTATCTAACTGTGACTAACCCTTCAATTAGGAACAAGTAACCAAAGTATCACATTAGATTTAAAAGTAATCAAACATCACACAGATATTATTTTCTTGGCACATATATAATGGTAGAATAATAAATAACAAGGTTAAAATTAAAAACTTTTTACTTCAGGCCAATCTATGGCCTCTAAGACACTTAGTGTTGCCATATGTTCCATATTTAACTTCTATTTATTCAAAGTGTTTAAAAACAACAAATATTTTACTCTATATTTAAAATCGATGAATAAGATAACACAAATTTAAGGTAATACTAAAGATAATATACAGTTAATGGAAAAAGTTGGAATTTATAAAATTGAATGTGAATGTGGAAGTGTTTATACTGGACAGACAAAAACATAATTGAAAATATCATTCAGCAGAACATAAGTGATGTGTAAAAAATGAAAGGACTGAAAATTCAGTCATAGCAGAAAATGTACAAAAAAACACAGAATAAGATATTATGGGAAAAAACTAATATTGACTCAACCAAAGGGTATTAAAGCCAATAATATCTGGGAATCTTTAGAAATAATAAACTTTAAAAAAGATCATGAATTCAAAGACAATGAATTATTAAATAGAGATAGAGGTCCAGCAAATATCTGAGCAAGAATGTTGCAAGAAGTCTGTAGATTAGCCATAGGTGGCAGGCGATACCCCAAGTAAGCAGAAACAGCGATATGGTGTAGGCTGTGGGAGATGAACATGTGTGGAGTTGTCCATATGCCCGATCGTAGAATCTCCTCCAATGGCCTACCAAGATGAGAGGCAAGGGAGAAGGTAAGGTGATGGATTTGATGTGAGGAAAAATGAAAGAAATCACACTGGGAAGAAGACAAGAAGGAATACACCAACTGGATCAAATGTAGAACCCAATTGGTCAGGGTAACCAGGGAAAGATCACGGGAAGAGGAAGGTTTCCAAGGGACAAAAATGTGGGAACGAGGAACCTGGAAGCCATGTGAACAATATAACAAAGGAGGGCAAGAACAGGACAGAGGAGTCTAACCGGATCAGGATGATGGTAGAGATGAGATATAGAGGATAGGCAAATAGGGAAAAAAGAGGACTGATCTTCTCGAGCTGCAGTGATCTTAGGAAGGAAAGCACAATCTGGATAAAGAATAATGTAGGAGGAATGGTACAAGGTCCTCGCAACATCAAGGGTGAACTATGATGCCTGTAGGCCAGGAGGAGGAGGAAATGTGCCATCAAAGAGAGGTGAAACAGAGAACACATAGGCAGAGGTTTGAATGGAGGTAAAGTGAGAGCATGAAGGACCACATTAATGCCCCAGTACAGGAGCGATGGATGCCTCAGTGGCTGAAAGAGCCGGAAAGAACAGGAGAAGCAAAGTTCCTGCAGAAATAGGGAAAACGGAAGGTATGGGATAATGCCATCTGAAACCTCGAAATCAAGGAGACCAAAGAACCCCTCTTAATACTTTGAGCTGATGATCCTTTAAACCCCTTTCTGCACATGATACAAGATTTTACTGAGTTAAATTGAAAATTGAACTGAACCACTTTTCTATAGACGTATTTTAATGAAATTACTATTATAAAGTACGTTATTCCTTTATTTTAAAGAGAAAAATCTGAAACACCAATTAAAACTGCAGTTTTTGCTGTCACATGATCCACTGTGGTTAAAATTCTCAACTTTAAGAGGCTGTACACAAGAAACTATGAGTTCCTAATATAGACTGTCGGCATAGATGATTAAAGTACAATTCCAGCTGTCTCTCATTAGCTGGGAAAACTTCCAAGAATTTCTCCCAGTGTGAAACAACATTCTCCAATTTGACCAACCAGCCCACACGCACAGCTTTGGCCAGGAGCTGACAAGTGTGACAGGTCAATTCCCATTTGGAATGAGCAAGAACAAGCCAGTTGTCCATATAACCATGGAAGCGCAACCTCATAGTATGAATATGTTGAGCAAAAAAAGCAGATCACACAAAAAAAAACACGTATGGTCCTGAGGCTAGGCCAAAAGGTAAGGCTTAAAATTGGTACACAACCCCTGATGGACAAATCGAAGATATGGATGTGGTAGCTCTGTCACAGGAACGTGTACGCAAGCATTGGAAGTGTCTAACTTGGTCATTCAAAGTCATGGAAAAAATGCCCACCAAAGAGAAAGGTATGTCTCCATGGTAAAGTGAGGAGTGTGAACATACTGATTGAGACAGGATAAATCAATGATAGGACATCAGTCCCAAGTCTTCTTGGGAACCACAAACAGGTGGGAGTAAAACCACCCATGAACCTGGTTCAATAGCCTGTTGTGCGATGAGGCCCTGAACCACCTCTGACAGATGATGGGAAGGCCCAGGGATCATAATGAGAAGGGAAGGTAATGGGAACACTAGATAATGAAGGAAGGGGATAATATATCCATCCAAGAGAACTCTGTGAACCCAGACATTGGTGAGAAAAGGCCCCCACTGATAAACGAAAATTCAAGAGACAAGCCCCCACTGGGCCCGAACCGACCACATAGTCACCAGTATTGCTGTTAGTGGATTGTACATCATTGAGAAAATCATCAAACCATGGCA